GAAACTGAGCGACACCATCATAAGACACACTCCAGCAATAGAAGACATAAAGTCCTTCATCGAATGCTTCACGTCACAATTAGAAGGCCAGCTGTTAGTAGCAGAGTCAATCAACGATCAGTTATTACTGATGAGAAGCAGCTCTAACCTAATCGATATTGAGATGCTCCAAGGACTAACGGAGCACCTCCAGCTACCCGAGGGAAGGGAAATCATTAGTGAGTACCAAGAAGATATGATGAAGTATGCTAGTAGTCTCCCGGTACAACTTTGCACAGCTGAGAGTCTTAACACAATTCTGATGCCTCCGCCTCTTAAATGTGAGAGTGCTACGTTTGCTTTTAAGTGGGACCCAGAGCAGAAGAAGCTAAAAGATGCTGTGGATATAGTTTCAAAATCGACTGGGAAACTCATGAAGGTTTATAATCTTGAGATGTCCGGCGATGAGGTTCACGTCAATTGCGTGTTTCTTTACACATTGATGGGGGCAGCCATAGCCACTGTACATGATAATATTGAAGCTCTTATTAGTGATGGGATTGTAAAAGTGACCATCGGGTACCTGACCGTGTGGAAGAAACAAGTTCATGATATCCTGACTAAAGTAAGAAAGAGAGAGGGGGGAAGGAGGGAGAAAGAAAGAAAGAAAAATAGAAGAAAGTGAAGAATTATTATGTTTTATTTTAAAGGAGAGAGAGGAGCCACAACCATCAGAAGCAACTCAAGAAGAGGGCCAGGACACTAGCAGTGCATCCCTTGATGATGAAGATAGACCAAAAGTGAGTCTACATGTACATGTACATGTATACCATTATGAATTACTATTATAAAGTGTTTGTCAACTAGTGCAGTGTATATTGTTATTGTTTATTGTTTGTTTATAGACGACTGCTGAGTTAGAGGACATAGTGGAAAAACTGTCTGATACTTTAAAAGATAAGGAACAGGTTTGAAATGTTATTGATTATATAATTTTTTAAAGTGGATGATGCATAAAAAATGTGATTAGGAAGGAATGATGATAATTATTAATATGTGATTTTGTTATTTTTTAGGAAGTGGAAGAGTTGGCTGATATATTGCAAAAGATAAAAGAGGTTAGAATTATTACTATGATACTTTCATACATGTTCACACACACGCACGCACACACACACACACACACACACTGATCCAAATACTATTGTGATTTCTTTTCTTCTTTCTCGCTGTCTATTTCTTTATCTATTCTTCTTTCTCTGCCCCTCCTCTCTCTCCCTCTGTTGTTCTCTTCAGGGCACCCCATTGGAGAGGAAAGTCTCAGAATTAAAGTTATACTTGAAGCAAGAGAGAGAGAAAGAAAAGAGTTTGAGGGATGAAATAAAAGGTACTTTTAAAGATATTAGCACATGCACACAGATTTCAACAGGACTTTGGGATAGTACTCATTGTCGGTCTAAATTTTGACAAAAGTTGCTCAAAAATCGGACAAAAGTCCCTGTACTATAGTACAGGATCACGGGCCAAATTTTGCCAAAAATGAAAAGTAGAGAATTCTCCATTTTAAAATTTTTAACGACCTGGGGGCAAAGCTCCCAGGTCGTTCCTATAATTGAATTCACCCTCGCGCTATGTATATATATATATATATATATATATATATATTTATTTGTATGTCCACACTTACATTTCTTCTATACACGTTGTATTGGAGAAATAACAAGCCTTAGCAACCACCCGCCCACGCTCCTTTACGTGAGTGGGTGTGGTAAACAAAATGGCGGCTTACACATGGGACAAAGCTAAGAGCTTTCTAACAGCAAGAGAGCATAGAGATACTGTCTAAAGACTTCTCTAGAAGCATTATAAGGTAGAGAGAACCTCTATAAGTCTTAGTAATGACCAAGTTGTACTTGCAAGGTGGTGAAATCAATTATAGGAATATTTTTTACCCTGTTACGCTTGTTACTGATACATATGTATGTACTTATGTTGCATAGAAAGTTTGAGCTGACTCTGATCACATTTGAATTTTTACGAATTTTTAAAGTTGTGCACAGTACACACACATATTTTATTAAAGTGACTTTGATTTATTTTTTATTATAGAAATGGAGGAAGCACTGAAGGATCCTGGTAAGATATGCATCCACACAAACAAATTAATTTATAAGTTTTTTTTGTACGTGTAGAAGCGTACGAAAAGAAAAGGTTGACTAACGAATTGGAACGTCTGAAACGAGAGAAAAAGCAGAAAGAAGGTAATGCTGCTTAGAACTATGAGAGCCATATTAAGTTAACTCTCTCTCTTCTTTTTTCTTTCCTTCTCTTTCTTTCTTTGTAGACAAATTGTTGGAGGATGGTAAGAAAGAGATATCGGTATTGAAAGAGAAGCTGAAAGAACTTGAGAAAGAGCTAGCAGAGAAAGAGGAGGAGAACAAGAGCTTGACTGAAAACTTGAAAGGTACAAAAAACACTAGTTGCTGGATTTTAAAATTTTGTTCTACTAATTCTGGCATTTTTGTAACTATAATGTTTTTTAAAATCCCTTACTAAAATTTAATTATTTGCTAAATTGATAAAAATAGCTATCACCTGTTCTATTAGCTATGGCAGTGTCCACTTGTATTATGTCTTTTCTTATTGTTGTAGCTCTCCAGTCTCAGTTGACAGAGACAAAGGCCAGTGAGGCTGATGATCCTCCTCAACCAATAGAAGAACCAACAATACCAACTTCTCCTTCATAAGTGTGACACTACCTAACCCCTTCCTTATACATTATTTTTATTTTTTATCATGCACATAGAAACTCTTGAATAGTTTGCTTTTTGTATCTTTTTTATTATACATAACTTTTGTAATGCTGTTTCATTAAAATATTAAAATAATAATAGTCATAGGGAGGGAGGGGCTAGTCTCTCTCGCGCGCGCGCGCGATATGCGATCCGAGTCCAGGTGGCAGCATAGTATCTATCGTGCCAGGGTGGGTTGGATCATCATTCTTATAATAATGTCTGTAGCTCAGTCTTTCGACGCTTTCTTGGAAGCTACTCCAACTACAAAGGAGCTAACGGAGCATGTTGATGTTGGTACTAACTGGTACATACTTGGTACAATGCTTGACTTGGATCAGAAACGATTGAGAAGTATTGAAGCACAAGCTGGCCACACTGACACTCACAAGATGATAGAGATGTTCAATCTATGGCTGACCACTACTCCTACTGCTAGTAGGAGACAAGTACTGGAAGTATTGAGAAAGAGAGTGGTTAATGAGCATACAGTTGCTGATAAATATGAAAAATATTTAAAGGAGCTTCATGATACTACTTGTAAGTAGAACCTTGTTTTTTAGTTATTTTTTGTTGACATGATATAGATACTGTATATGACTTGGTCTATAAAGTACATTAATTATGCATTATTTCAATTTAGATATATCGCTGGCAGTTTCTATTCTTCAAAGGAATATTCAATCATTGAATGAAGCTCTTGTCTCTCCTGTACAAGTGTCTCAACTGTTATACTGTAAGAGATGTATAAGTGAAGCTACTCTGGATGAAATGGAGAGGATAGATCAGAGGAGGTCACTGGATGACAAGAAGACCACTCTATTGACTG